ATTGACATCACGGAATCCAATGCCAATGAACGTCCTTAAGTACTTTGACGGTAGAAAAATGACAAAAACAATACTCAAACAAGACATAGAGATAAGTAACATATATATGGATTTTTTCGCAAATTATGCGGGATTATGTGGAGAATGGCAGATTACGCGGGTCGGCACCAGGGCATAAAATGCTAGAATCCCTGACTTATGCTCAAGATTTATAAATAAGGTTTTCAAATTCCTTCTAGAAGTCATACGTCACATTTACAAATTGTAAACATTGTATAAAACTCTTTTATAATGTCTTTTTCAAATATGTAATATACCATTTTAAATCTAATGAAAACATTATCAATGAATGCTGTTTTGTGTTCATGTCAAGCTCAATAATATATAAGATAAATGCTGAATTAATACGTATCGTACGAAAGGTTAACAGAGCGAAACATTTTATAAACATTCTACAAAACTCTTTTATAATGTCTTTTTCAAATATGTAATATACCATTTTAAATCTAATGACAACATTATACATGAAATGCTGTTTTGTGTTCATGTCAAGCTCAATAATATATAATATAAATGCTGAATTTTAATTCAATTCAATTAATTTAAAAGACGTATCGTACGAAAGGGTAACAAAGCGAAACATTCTATTACCTCATTGCAATATATCAGAGTTGGCGCACCGCCGAGTTTTGATCACTTATACAATTCAAAAATAAAACCACGATTTTTTATGATATTACACAGTATTTTAACGTTCTAGATTTCATGATTGCTGAAGATTATTTATAAGATAAAAAACACATGACGGAAAGAAGATTTTTTATCACTATATTTAACACTTGCTGAAACAAATTGATCAACGCACGTTTCCTGCATTTATTCTTTTATATTTCTTGCAAATTTTCATTGGAATGTAGGCTATTATTCCAATCCCGCCAGACTCTTTTAAATCTGTACAAAAGACAATTACGTTCTCGAGATGCATTTCTCTTAAAGAATTTGTCGCACGACAGAGAGAAAGTGACGCGAACTTTTAATAAAAAAACACTTTCCATTATTTAATGGCACAACTTTTATGCCCTTTGTGATGGAGCCGGTATGCAATCCCGTTGTGCTATATAAGAAGACGAAAGCTATTGCTATAGAATATTTTTCCTCCCATATACAGCAATACAATAACGATGACAATCAACTATAACTCAATACTACGACAGACCAATATGTGAGATGATAATAATTTTTCTTACCAACAAACGAATCTACTTTAATGAGTAGAAATATCATCACTGCTAACATATAAGCCATTTTCCTCAGTCGTAGCATCTAGAGCCGTAATAGCTAGTACATTGATATGTATGTACACACGACGTCTTCATTCATGAATAACGACCGCAGTCATTCAACTATAGATTCAATCGTGACTAGCACGATATTGTAATTACCTTTTCCAAAGAGTGAATAAAGGTCAATCACACATCTATTTTAATATCCTCTTATCTTAAAAAAGTACAAAACAGGGCCAAAAGTATACACCTACTTGCGAAAACGTTGTCATAGAAAAAAGGATATTTGTATTTAGTAAAAAGGAATAAATGAAAAAAGACAAAAGAAGATCACTGAGGCTGAACGCTCTCTTTTGTCTTGTTTTAATTTATTCCTTTTTACCAATTTTCTATGACAACGTTTCTGCAAGTAGGTGTATATTGCTATTTCATAAAAGGTTGTCGGATACAATGGCGAATGTCGATGGTCGAACCAATTGCATGACCGAAAGTAGCCATGGGTTTCGCTAGTTGAAAGGCATATTTGTACTGTAAAATCGTCTGTGGTAAACATTGGCTCTATTTAGTGTCGACTATTTAAGGTGAATCCAATAAGTGAAATGTTGTTTATTAAAACAGTGTAACCATAGTCCCTTTCGGTCGTGCAATCTCCCTCGACAATGGCCGTTCACCGTTCTCCCCGACGTTTTATTAAGATAGCTGTATGCTTTAAGTAACAATTGCAACCTCTAGCATATTTCATTATATCGGTTGCATCATGGGAAATGCGATTGTTTGCTCTTTTCTCGCTAAAGCAGATAGTAAATTATTCAACTACGTTAAAATCTGCAGTTTTACGATGAGAAATTTAAGGTTCAAATTTGGAGTATAGTTGTTCCTATGTATCCTTACATTTCTATACTGTATTTTTCAATGAGCAGATTTGCTCCTTCACTAGCTGCCAAAGAGATAATTTGACGTAGTTGGCAATATTATAATAGCGTTTCGTCTAGTTAACCATACAATGCTCCTAGATGAGTCTCTATGGAACCACGAATGTAAGCTATAATTATACTTAAACTGGGCCAATATGTCACCGTCGTGTGTAGCTTGGTGGACTAGCCACGACCACGAAAACGGAGTCTCAAAGATGTCTCGCTCCGGCACTTATTACTTACAATGACAACAACAAAAGACAACAAGAAAAATAAAGGGAAAAAATTCAGTTCTTACGGCTGACTTACGGCTGTCTATATCAACAGACATTGTTTTAAACCAGAGAAGAACCCAGGCATGGCTTGGGGCCTTCAAATAACCCTGCATCTATCAAGGCAAATAACCGTATTTCTTTATTTAATGTCCACATTGACGGACATCTTTTTCCAGAAGCACCATGCATTAAGTTTTGACTTTCAAATCACCCTCGTGAAAGCTCGTGCATGATGACATTTCAATCGTGAAAGCTGATATCCCTGCTTTGTAAGTGATGGCAGTAAATCTCCAAATGCTGTTTTTTTCATTTCTTTATTACTTGAAATAATGGTAAAAAAACATTGCGTGACGTTCAGTATTATATTTCAATCGCCCCATCAGGCTGCCTGACGCAGGGTCTGAAGGTGAATATTGAATAACGGTTCAAAATTGACTGGTAATAATGAGTAGTCAATAAAACTCCTAAGGAATAATGAATAATGAAAAAATCAAAAAGAATAATGAATAATGAAAAAAAAAAATATTATAAACAATAATGATTAATAGCAAAAATATATGCATGGAATAATGGGTAAAAATAAGACACGAATCAAGAATAATTGGCAAGTATTCACCTTAAGAACCCGAGCCTGGCATTTAGACATTCCAAAAATGTTTGGTGGGGTTATTTTGGGTGAATGACTTTCTTCGCATTATGCAAACCATGGACAAAAAGCAAAGCAATCCTAGCTTGTCGATCTGTTCCGTTTGTATTATTGCAGCAAAATCACCAACTTCATCATTGARAAATCGATAATATCTCGTTGGCTGTGGCGGCATAGTGACTTCTCTTGCCATGAATCMAGACAGYAGTGTTAAAGTGCGTGTGGCGACAWCAGATGATGTGSATAMAATARTTCAAATATCCGAAGSAATCTACAATGGCGGAGACTACCTTCCTGTTGTTCTTCATCAATGGCTGACCGAGGAAAGAAGGTTCATCTTCCTCGCCGAATATCAAGGTGAAGTCATTGGATTGCAAGTAGCGACGGTTGCAATTGATCARRAGTCGTTTGTAACTCAGTCCTTAAGAATTCATCCCAAATATCGAGGAAAGAAACTTAGCTATCAATTGACTGATGCTGTTACGASGGAAATGTGTACACGGTTCCCACAAAYRTCGAAAMATRTCTTGACATGYATRAAAYCATCRGCTGCATTTAAAATGTAYACAAACAAGGGGTATAAAACATTAGAGGAGTTAACCTACCATCTAGTACACATCAAGCCATCTGATATCGTGTGTRTTCGCCGTGAGAGCCAAAATTGGAATGACACGGGCCTGGTTTCGATGTGTGAGAAAGATACATTAAAAGTTTTAAAAGACAAGAAAATCCTAGACCTTGTTGGTTCACACGGCATGGTGTTTGGAAAACATCATTTCCCTCGAAAGCTTCCTGAAGAGGCTCAACTTGAAGCTGAGGAAATAGCCAAGACTGGGGTAATGTTTGTGGAAGCATCTCAACCAGAAGACAACGGCTTTCCAAGGTCATTTAGCTATGGCTTTGCATCGAGGAGGGTCAAGAGTGATCACTGGCTTTCATATATTTATGCAAGCGATTCCGATATATTTAAGAAACATTTTCGCAGTCAGTTAAAGGCTGCAGTTGCACATACTTCCGTCGAAAACCATCATTTGGAGATTTACTGCTATCACTTACAAAGGAGGGATATCAGCTTTAATGGTTGCAATGTCATCATGCACGAGCTTTCTCGGCTGCAGGGTGATCTGAAAGTCACAAGTGTGTGCGAAGTGCTTCTGGAAAACGATGTCTTTCGATGTACACAGTAAATTAAAGAGGAGGGGCATATCTGGAAACTTGCAAAAAACAAACTCTTTGCTTCTAAGGAACTTAAGACTCAAAGACTTTTTTAACATTTCTTTTACTTTTATATATTTACTACCCTATGGGCCAGATTGGAAAAAAG